TCACGGCGAGCCAAGTCGAGTCGTGTCGAGAGGAGACGCGCGCGAGAACCACGGGAGGGCGAAGAATGAAGCCCGGGTGTGTCGGCTGCGAGAGCAAGCGAGCGAGCGAGCGAGACGTGAACTGTGGCTGGCTCTTCTGGATCCCCTTTACTCTCTTGCTCTTTCTGTCTATCTCTCGGTCTCTGTCTGTCCATCTCTTTCCCCTCCTCCCCCTTTCTCTCTCTCTCTCTCTCTCGCAGTTTCTCAACGCGCGTGTATCGGACGTCGGGTAGGGCCGCCAGAGGAGTCTGCGATAGGAATAAGGCAAGGCGCAGGCCCCGGATATTTGCGGAACCAGGGTATCCGAGGGAACTCTGCCGCGCCAACCTTGCCTGCCGGTCAGCATCCGGGCGATCCGAGTGACTCGGATTGTTCGGATGACAGAACTCGCCTGGAGTATCGGCGAGATCTCGCATAAACTTGTCTTAGGCTCGCCAGGGTTGCCTCGAGGGAGAGGAGAGAGACAAAGATAGAGAGAGAGAATCTAAGAGAGAGAGAGGGAGTTGCAACCAGTATCGTCGAATGAAGTCTCAATGAGAGGTCAAGGTGGTCCGAGGACCGAATGGATTGAAAGTAATTAAACCGACTGAAGAAGAACTCGTCTCAGAAGGACTTCCTTCTCGATCTGTTTCGACATGTTCAAGGTCATTTATAGTTTTCGCATCACTTTCTTTGAGTAACAAATACCTCATCGAAACCTTTATTTTTTGTGAAAGAAAATCATTTTCTTTCCGGTATGGATCTTGAGGAACCTTTTGTTAGTAAAAAGAAAGATTTTACGACTCTAATAAAACGGACAATGTCACGCTCGAAGCGTCACTCGTCGTAGCGATGGTCAGGAGCTTCGTGACAACAGCGGAGCTGAAAGTGTGGAGAGTCGAACGGACAAGCGATGATGGAGCTGTAGGGAGTCGCGTGCGGGAGGTGGGAGAAAGCGAGACCACCGGAAATCGGTCTGTCCTTATTTGAGGGGCCGCGTGAACCGCACCGAGACCAGGCCTCCTCCGTGCGCGGCCGTTTCTCGGGCTCTTTTCGACGGCTTCTTCCCTTCACTCAGTCGGGAGACCCACGCGAGCGATTGAAAGGGGAAGGACTAAGAGGAGGAAGATGAGGAGAACGAGGAGGAGGAGGAGAGGTGCGCCGCAAAAACGCTCCCGGCAGAGCCTCCGCGAAGACGCCACCAGAATCGCGTCCAGACGTGGAAAGCCGCGATGGAAGTGCGAAATTTCAACCGCGAAAACACTCGATCTTATCAGGCATCCTGTCATACGTTATAGTAGGTTACCTCGAGGAGACATTCTTCGAGTCGTCTTCGAGCACGGTGGTTCTCGCAAGATCCATCTGGTAACGATCGGGAATCCTGGCGTTTCTGCGGAATTTGAAAGCCGTTGTTGCTTGACCATCAGTCACATCGAGAACCAACACATACCAAAGAGACTGTTCAAGTAGTTTCAATGAATGGCAAATTATTAGGTGTTCCGGCTAGTTTTGAGGAATTTTGTGCAAAAAAGAAACACGTATATTTTAGAAAGACATTAAATTATTTTAATCAAAATATTTTCCATCGTTTGCTACAACTTTTTCCCATTTTCCTGGCAATAAGTGGATTCCGCGGTAAAAGATGTTTGTCTTTCGAAGCAATCCATTTATCGAGTCATTTTTTTATTGCATCATATGTTTTGAAGTGCTGGTCAGTAAGGCCGTGCTGCATCTCGATCGAAATAAATAATAATCTGAAGGAGCACAGTCTGGTGAATACGCGTGTGGTAAGACTTCCTATTGAAATTCCGATAACGTATCTTTAACTGCTTTTGCAACGTGTGGTCGAGCATTGTCGTGCAACAAAATCACTTTACGTTTTCTTTGAGCTGTTATTGGATATTTTTGGTTCAAAGCACGATTCAAATCAATTAATTGTCGTTGATAAACCTCAGCAGTGATTATTTGATTCGATTTCAGCAGCTAATAATACACGATACCCTTCATGTCTCACCAAATGCATAACAAAACTTTACTTCCATGGATATTGCGTTTTGGAGTCGATGTCGATGGTTGGCCTGGATTTATCCACGATCTTTTACGCTTAGAATTATCATAGTATATCCATTTTTCATCACCAGTTACAGTTTGATACAAAAATTGCTCCTTTTTGTGACGAGAAAGCAATAAAGTGCAAATGGTTAAACGATTCTGAATAGCCAATTCAGACAATTTGCGTGAAACCCATTTGCCTTCTTTTTGAATTTTTCCTATTGCGTGTAAACGATCAAAAACGGTTAATCAACAATTTATCAACATTTAATGTTGTAGTTAATTCTTGAAGTGTTTGAGCAGAGTTTTCAACCAATGTCTGCAATTCGGCATCTTCGAACTTTTTTGGTTGACTTGAACGTTCTTTGTCTTCTTTGTGTTCTTTCAAATCAAAATCACCACTTTTAAATCATCGATACCAAACTCACACGTTTTAGCTGATGGAGCAGGCTCAGAATAAGTTTCTGAAATGAATCGGTGAGCTTCGGCAGCTGTTTCCTTCGAATCAAAGCAGTAAAATATGCCAAAAATGCTCTTTATCACGTTCCATGTTTAGTCGTCCTAAACAGTGTGTTTATGTTTACGAAAATATTATCTTTATGTTACGAATGCACAGGACATGTGTCAATTTGTTTGAGATTTCCTAGTTTTGACATGACCATTTTCAAAAGGTTTTCAATAGATTTATAGCTATAATCATTGCGTAGTACAAGATACCATAAATGTACAAAAGTACAGGTAGAAAAGTTTCTTTGTTATCAAAGGTTATATTCGTCTTGTTTACTTTTCTTTAAACATACATAATGTATCTGTACATATGTACATCTGTATATATATACATATATCTTTCTATGATACAAAGTAACTTTCAACAATAAATCGTAACGATTATAAACATGTCGCATAGCTATCGTCGCACAAGATTTCCACGTATTGCTAGATTTTCATAATCTTTGAGCAAGTCAAAGTTCAAAGGTACAAGCAATGAAAAGAGAAAGTTGCATGTGTAAATACGACGTGTGATCTCGTAAGGGTTCTCGTGGATTTCGTCACCTATCGGAGTGAAATCGATCGAAATGCAAAATCGGATCCGCGAATTCGTAATTAATTCGGCTTACGAAGCATGTTATGTTCCTTTTCTTTCCTTTTCACGAATTATGGACGATACGAACCGGTGAAAAGTGCATTTACGACGTAACAGGATCCCATGCAAATAGTAACAATCTACGTTCTTAGTAGATTATCCCGGCGAGAAATTTGTTGTCGAAATAGGTCTGAGATCTTGTTTCTTCGGCACGTCGCCTGAATTAATAAAAGCCCTGAAAGATCTCGGATATTATAAGACATGAAATTGTCGATGACCAAGTCTTAACCATCCGGCTGGCCTCGGTATCTATGTGCCAAATTTGTAAGATTAATCTTCAGCATCTCCAGGTTGGACTTTGGTATTCTCGTTCATCTAGAATGCCGCTGTTTAGCTGTTCAATTGTCATTGAAGCGTAGAATCGTATCGCAATTTCGTTTTAGTCTCACACACTTATTACACAATTATTATACAATTAGCTTTCATCTTTTAGACTATGTCAGTTACCTCAATTATATCGTCAGAAACATTAAGACCTGTATTGATATACAGTACTTAAAACTTGTCTCAAGTAAGATATTTAGACTTGAAACTAGAGTTAAATCTGAATTTTTTGCAATTGAATCATGATTACAAATATAATGTTATGTGTATCGTAAAATTTAATTGATAAGCTCGGATCTCTCTCTAACCCTAAATTCAGATCTGAATATCTTAAGCGAGACAAATTTCGAGTAACGACTATTAATATAGAGACCTCAGAGAATACTTAAGTCTAGGGTGTACTTATTTCTCAATTATAATTATACGTTTCCTAAGTGACATGAGTTAGCGTTTCTATTCCAGACGCGAATGCTTGCTAAACGGCTCATGCACTACAGCTGGAAATAGATTTCTATAGTATCGTCCACCTTAATTCTGACATGGATTTTCCTTGTGACCTTTTGTGATGAGCACACTAAGTGAACGGAAATACGAATAAATTTAAGACGCTCGCCGATTAAATAGAAGACAACGATACGTTATACGGACGCGAAATCTCGACAAGATGTGATCTTTCGAGTGTGATGTAATAAAATTGTCGGTCAATGGCATATAACGGTTACCATGCCGCCCCGCACAAGTATTCTTCATTGTGCTCATCAAGGGAGGACCGAAAGCCGCTTAGACGGACTGAATGAAATAGAACAAAAGAATATAAGACCAAGAAGGAAGTGGAAAAGAAGTATTTGGTTCATGAATTATCTGTCTGAGGACAAAGAAAATGCATCTAAAAATATCGAAGAAAACGAGGAAAAAAAGGATTTTTCTATGCTTTCTAAAACTTCGGAAAATACCTGGATCAACTTGGTTCATAGATAAAAAAAATAGAACAAACATGACTATTCGGGTTTGAATATAAGCATGCGGTAGCAAAGTGCACTTAAAAAAAATTGGGTATTTGAAATAACCCGACAGAAAGAGTAGAGCGGAGCGTAGTAAAGCAGAAGGAAGCGAGAGCCAGATCGACAGCGCCTGGTCACGGTGGTTAGCGCGCGAAAGCGAGGAAGAGGATCGGCGTCACGTCACGAGGGGTGGCGAACCCCTAAAGGACCCTCGGTAGCGCGCGGTGACCTCCCTCCGCCTGGCTACCACCCGACGTTCCCCTCGGCGGCCTTCGCGCGCTCTCGACTCCTCTGTTCCTTGCAACCCCGGTCCGCGCGTGTGGCCCCCTCCACGGCGTCCTCGTCATCCCTGCCGCGACGACATCAGGAGCACGATCATTGGTTCACCGGGTTCACGCAGGCACGAGGAGGCACACGCAGCTGCCACCGGCTGTGGTGGCACCTCTTGCGCTGCGGGACCGATTGGCGGCGGCCAGTTCCGAGGAGAAGCGGTGCGCGCGCGGGTAGTCGCCGTCGTCATCGTCACGCCGCTTCGTCCTCCGCTTCTTTGTGTGTGGTACCACGGCGAAACCACCCCTCGTTGCCGCGTCGTTTCCAGCTTGTTTCCGCGTGCTTCCTCTTAGCGAGTTCGCGTTTTCTCTTTCTCTCTCCATCTTTTTTTCTTTCTTTCCGTCTCTCTCTTTCTCTATCTCCATCTCTCTTTTTCCGCCGTTCTCTCTCTCTCTCTCTCTCTCTCTCTCTCTTCCTCTGCCTCTCTCTTCCTGTCTCTCTATTCCTCTCTCCGTCTCTCTCTTTTTCTATCTGTCTCTTCCATATCTCTTGTTGCTCTTGTGAATCATCCTTACGCATCAAAACACGACGATAATACACTCGCTGCTATTGCAATCGAGAGCGACCGCGCGGTGCAACCATCGATCTCCCTTCCCGCGCCAGATCCCTCGCGTTCTCCAAATCACCTCGTGCGCCCTCACAACGCCGGCCGGCTTCGACGGTCCAGATCCGTCCGTTTGTCTATCCGTTCGTTCAACGCCATCTTGATGCCGACGCGACGATCAAACGTCGTCAAGAGCTACAGGAGGCGACACCTGTCGACAGTGTGCATTGCCTCGCACGTGGTAGGTTAGTTGTTACGGTGAGTGCACTGATTCCTTCCCTCTCTTGGGCACGATTGGTCGCTACCCTCTATCATACGTCCAATACTACCTGCTGCCAGCCCAAAAATCTGTTGGAACGAAGACCAGAACAAATCCGAAACTATTCTTTTGTCTAAAAACTGTGTGTCGCTACATTGCCCCGCCTACCCTCATGCCTTTCTTCTGTCACGTTATCCCTACGAAAACAATAAGGACTACTACGCAAAGCCATGAAATTTGTCATTGGTACTGCAGAGGTCCAAGTGTTAAGTGTACGAACGATTTGAACTCTCATTTCGCACTGCGATCTCGACGTGGTTACAAGCTCAGCAGTCTGAAGCGTCTCTGCAACCAACGACACGGAAGAGGACTTCGAAGAGTTCCACAATCCTCATTGGAATTTAGAGGACGAACCAAGAATCCGCGTTCAACGTCGATAAAGATCATCACAATTCGCTGTTATTAACCACTACTTGTCCCGGGAACGCGCTCTAAGTGTGCCTTTCCATTTTTCATACAAAGACATTATGTTTTGGTACCAAGTGATGACAATCGACAGTGGTCGCGCTGGTATCGACGAAGCGTTTTCATTGAAGTACTAGCACTGAGGAGATTTTAGTCGCGAAGACATCGAGATCGCTCAATATTTTCTGAAGGATTTTATTGTTTCTCCTCCGAGTGAAAACATGACTAGTACATAGTGCGTAACACAATCGTGTTGCATTGCGCGAACGATAGCGCGACGTCGAATGCACGTGAACGAAAACTACGGACAATCGGCGGCTGACATACGTACCAGTGATAGTCCAGCGCACGAAGGGAGGAGGGAAGCGGCGTCAATCAGTAGTCGGTATCACCTCCACCTAGAGACACGTCGCTGACGGACCCAGAGAGGACCAACGCGCATCGGGAGCGTCACGGTGATAAAACGAAGAGAGCGCAAAGGAAGAGGAGGAGAGAATTCAGTCGACATCGCCAGTTTGCGGTAATATCCTCCGGCAACGTCGACGAGCTGACGACAGCCGGACGAGCGGAAGAAGGAGAGAAGAGGACAGACGGCTCTTATCACGCACCAGCTAGCTCGCGCGTTCAGAGCAGTACGGGAGAAGGTCATAGGAACGTTCTTCCCGCCCGCGTTCGTTCTCCCTACGACGTCACACGCTTCGGGTGTGCGTGGCTCGTCGCTCTCGCTCTCGCCTCCCGCTGCATCGCCACCGCTCTATCGCTCCCGCCGCGAGATACTCCCGTGACCGGCCGCTCTAGAGGGAGAAGGTTAGGATGCCGCAGTGCGCTGTTCATGAGTGTGGCAACAGTCACCGGCGGACTCGCGGCAAGCCCGTCCACTACCACCGCTTCCCGCAGGAAAAGGTGTTGCGCATGAAATGGATAAAGGCGTGCAACCGCAAGGCGACATCGACCGGCGATCTGCCGTTCAACATCTCCACCGCGCGTATCTGCTCCCGACACTTTACCAAGGAAAACTATGAAACCGTTAATATTATAAACGGCGTGAAAATGTTGGGCACTAGGCTGCTTCGCAATGTTGTGCCAACACTCAATCTGCCAACCGAGGAAGAGGGTCTTGAAAAAATCCCTTCGGAACAATGTGACAACAAGGAGCTCATGAAAATACTCATGCAAAACGCGGATGTAGCGGCTGGCGGCGAAAATATGCCGGGCAGCAGCAAGACGAAAGGTGTGAATAGTTCCCGATCGGAGCGGCGATTGGAGCGGCGATTGGAGCGACGACTAAACCGGCAATCGGAAAAGCAATCGACAGAGAAGCAACCGACAGAGAAGCAACCAACGGAGAAGCAACCAACGGAGAAGCAACCAACGGAGAAGCGACCAATGGAGAAGCAACCAATGGAGAAACAACCGACGGAGAAGCAACTTTCGGAAAAACGTAGTGAAGGAATGAAACACGACACCACGACGAAAGTATCCAGGAAAAAGTACGGTTTCGTAAAGGCGCTTGGTCTCGCGCCACGGTGAGTCATCTCATCTTGATCTTCATTTTTATTCAACGGTATACTTTGCCAATTGATTGTCTCTTCATGTTTCTTTTTTTTCACGTTCGACTTTTCGTTAATTTTTAGCAATGTTTTCATTGATTTTCACTAATTTTACTTTACCGAATTATCGCGAGTTCTCTTCACTTTTAACAAGACAAATATCTCTGAGACACGCTAGAAACGATTTCTCATTCAGGGCTTCTGGCTTAGTTTCCATCGACTAGTTTTCGTTCACGAAGACAGACGTGTGGTCGGCGGTAAATAATATCAGGCGTCGCAGGATACTGTTATAATCAGCAAAGCGTAATTCTACGATAAGATACCGCGTCTTCAGTCTTCACGTTCGCTTCGTAACCGCTTTTATTCCCGGTATTGTGCGATTCTCGCGACACCACGCGCTCACGACGAGACGAAGCTGCGCGCGTCTCCGGAAGTTCGCGTCGCGGCGTTCTCCAGTGAGCGCGGTACCACGATAGAGTAGCTCGTCATCACCGATGTCCCCGCCAAGGACAACGGTGTCGTTGCAAAGGACTTTACAATAAGTATGTTAGTCGGCCACGTGCGCGCCGATCCCCAAGGTCGTCACCGCGATGCGCCGCATCGAGAAATTCAGCCGGCGAGATTCGCTCCTCGTGGTGCATAAAGGCGTCGTCGGGCATGAAGGCGGCGATGTCGGCGAAAGATGGCACAGTAGCCTCGCCCTGCATCGACGGTTTAATCTTATCTTTCTCCTGTGTGCGTACTTCTCGCACGCGACTTGCATTCCTCTTTGCCGAGGCGATGATCGAATAGCGCAACGGAAAACATTGAGTCACGCTGAAAGCACAACCCCCGATTTTCTAATTTCGTGCAGGGTAAAAGACCAAATTTTTAACATCTTCCCTTCTCCCTAGTCAAGAATACTCTAGAAAAACCTGGTTTTTCTTGACTAATGTTGTATATCTTTTTTTATGTAGGCTCTATGATTAACACCCAAAACAAAATAAATTCTAGTTACAAGATAATGTTTTCTGTAATCCGATATTCTGAGCGAAAAATCTTCTCGAAAGAATATTCCTTTTCTAATAAAGTAGATTATTAATTTAGAAATATTACTACTAAATATTATTTTAACTTTCTTCTGTTGAATCAAGAGGAATATGATAACTTGAAACGAAATGCCCTCGATACGCGAGAGATGCGACTAGCAGTGCATTTTGCCGTGTCGGCTGAAGCCAACCGAATCGAAATTTGTAATCTGCTATAAGTCTCGAAAATGGTTATTACAATTCTTCGTGAACATTTCAAAGATACATTACATAAGTATAAGACGCAAGAACAACGTTAAAGCCGTTGAGACGGCTGGCCTGTTCCATGATCTTCGAGGTCGAGCAAAGTCGAGCGTGTCTAGAGAAGATGGTGACCGAGCGGGATCAAAATCATTGAAGGATGCAAACGTATAAAGTGTATGGCAACCTAGACGTTAGTACATTTTTGCCGAACATTTCTTTTCATTGGCTTACTAGTTCGACGGTATTTGCTTAACGCATTACAATCTAAATTTCGATTCGGACAAGCGTTACGCTGCATATGGGCGAAAAGACTGATCCATGCAAGACGAAATTTCTCTAACTTTAAGAATATTTTTCTCTTGATTTTACACGAATATTTTTAAAACTACGTGTGAGAGTAAAATCCTCTAGGATTCTGAGGATTTCGCTAAAAGAAAGATTATATTTTTTGGATGGACTTCCCAAAAAGAGATTTTCACAACTGGAATTGGACAGATGTCGCCGCTCACAAGAAAAACCAAATTTTTCTAAAATATCGACGACTAAGGGAGATATCAATAATTGATTACATTAATTACGATATCACATAATAAAAATGCTTATCGGCGAACAATTTTCTCCGAGGCCACTTTCACTGAACGACGTTCTCAATCTTTTTGTCGAGGCGATCGACGAAAAGAATGGTAACATTTTATCATGTCTAAAGCAACTCAACCCCCTAGTGCTTAACTCATATGGTTATTGGTAGACAATCGGTAGATTATCGGTCCTTTATTTACACGGTTATCAGTAGACAATCTTCTCCGAGATCGCTTTCACTGGTATGTGTTATTCAGAAGTTTGACTTTCGTTGAAATCATGTTTTTCCGATAGTCCGAGGACTTTCAATAACGTGACCGAGTCAGTCACCGCGTTGTGTAATATCATTGTACAAATAAAATAAATCTGATCTTATTAGTTTTAAATAGAACCGCGGACAAATGTGTTATCAAGAAATCGCAATGTGTTATCGCCGGATTCCATCGCATTCCAAAATCAAAAATGACATATATAAATATATCTTTCAAATTCATATAAATAAAAGACGAGCCGAACGCTGTTGGATTTGCTTGATCTAGTCTTATTTTCAGATTGGAGAACGAGTACAAATCTTTCGGTTCCAAACATTTGAACCGTCTTCAGTGAACGCAACAAAGACAAATAATATTATAACGTCATTAGCGCTACGAGGACGCAGAAAGGTCCTTTAGAACAACATAACATGTTGTTTCAGATCGCGACTCGCGTGCGCCAATCGCTTTCTGTAGCGATTGATTGCAATCTCTTCAGCCCTTATTGGTCACTGTTACTAAACAACGATAAACAGCAAACTGATGAATAGGATGCAATACAACAGAGTCAATGCCGCCCACTCGCCATTATATTTTTCAAAATCATCGATAACGACCAATACATTACATGTTCAAGAAATATACTCACCAACTGTTTAAATTTCACGTTTTGTTACGGAAAATTGTCAAATCTTTTGACAATCAACTACAGTCAGCGTTATGAATGCTACACCATTATAACTAGATTCATTTATGTAATTTCCGACCTTGTGCTTACATGTGTAAGACTGAAAATCGTGTAACTCTAGAGAAGAGGTCTAAAAAATTATACACGACACCGACATTGTATTCTCGTAGAAAAGGTATCTTCTATTAGCATTAGAATCTTTTTTATTTTAATGTAAATGATGACGTATTATTGAATATGTAAAAATTCCCGTAATCTTCGTTAATCCGAAGTAAACGAAGTGAATAAAACATGGAATTCTCTGGTTTATATTTACAGTGAATATTAATCCCTACAGCTACTCCGAAATCACGTGTTATAGTGTCCCTACGTGTCATGTCCGGGCCACGTGGCCCGAAGCTTATATACTTCCGTGTCAGCGACCGTCCGGGGTTAGTGAACCGCGACTGCTGATGGTTCCAACACGGATAGCTGAATTGCGAACGCGCGATAAATCAGAACCTGCACTCGAAAGAATACGGCGGACCGTGAGCCGCGAACCAGGGTGGTGAAAAAATCGAACAAGTCGGCCAATTCTCGCGCTCGCGAGGAAGGAGTGCGGGGCGAGTCGAGCCGACCATCTTTGGTGCACGAACAGCTGGCTTACCTAAGTCGAATCCATCACGGGATTTGACCTACCCACGACTTCGGCCTGAGAATCGACCGTCCTCCTTTTGTTATTTCACTCCTTGACGATGTATTGGCGTATCTCGCGCAGAAAGGATCCACGTATTCTTGCGCAGAAAAGGCCAGGGCGAGAAAGTTCTAAAAAGAAATACCAGAAGTGAAGGACTCTTTCTGCGTGAAACTGCACGTCCTTGAACGCGCAAAGTCTACCTGAAGAACCATCTCAGGTCTCGGGGGAACGGTCGATCTGTCTCAGGAATTTCGACGTGGCTGGACGATGTTTTACGATACTGCGCGTGTCCTTATAAATTATCACACACCACTCTCAATATTACGTTCTCACTTGACTTTTCCGTTCTTCTCTATTACATATATCTTGGTATCAATATATTATACTCTATCAGGTGGAGGGGAGGGAGGCTTTTCGGTGAGGTCTTCGCTTGGTAAAACAGTATGAGAAGCGCTGAAGGTTACCATTCAGTGAGTCACTCTTATCTACAAAATGTTCACGTTATGACTAAACGTTAATAATTCTCAAATTGATGATTAGTCATGAGAACATGAAAATTTCGAAGATAAGAGAGACTCACTTGATAGAAGCGACCTTCGGTACTTCTCATACTGTTTTACCAAGCGAAGACCACTGCGAGGTCTTGAACATCGAGCTGACGCCGACCTCGAGAACGGGGCCTCGATTATGTTTGCTTTACGACGTACAGTTGCACTTCGGACTTTGACGCGACCTAGTAGTCGATCAGGGACGAAGTGGAATATAACGCGGAGGATTGCGACACGTGTCGCTGCAACAATGCGCCCGCGCTCCCGCAATATTCGCCCGATCAAGGTAGGAGTCAGTTAGCTCCTTCGTCGATCTCATCGAGATCGCTCGATTTTCCTCGCGAGTGGCGATGCCAGCTCATTCGGCGGATTCTGGAGGAAAAAAATAACGACGCCGGGCAATGGTCACGCGAACAGTCATGGCGGAACTTCGGGTCCGGCTGTAAACTCGACTTCGCTCGACTCGACTTCGCTCGACCTCCTCGCGATGCAACGCGCTTCGAGAAAGGCCTTCTCGGTCAGGGACAGCGCACGAGCGCTTCGTTTCTGGCACCGGACGTACTCGTCCGCCTCTGTTATTACTCCGCAGAGCCTCCGACATGCTCGTTGTCGTCTTCTTCTTCTTCTCCTTCAAACATCTCGATGCATATTCTTGATGCATATTCGAATTTACTTTCATTTAGCATAAATTATCGAGTTGTTACACGCGATATAGACGCAGCGCAACATTCGAAGTACTCTCTCTCTCTCTCTCTTTATATACACACACACACATCTATACCTCAAAAGAATGAATGTTTAGCTTAGACAAAAGAGTCCTGGACTCTCAGCCCTTGAAGAAAAAATAGACGTGTCCTTTGATGCGAGATGCAACGTGTTCAAGGCTTTGCTTAACGTACTCGATCGCCAAAGATCTAAGCCGACTATCTAACGTAACCTCGTGACGCGCTCGGTTCACCAACA